TGTTCCACGGCCAAGAACCCGGGATAAATCTCAGGGGTCCACATCAACTTCCGCGGGGTCTGCTGGCCTCGGTCTCTTCGCATTTATTGAGGTGATCCCACTCCCCACCCCCACCCCAGGTTACACCTAGGTCACAGATAGCTTGGTTGGTTGAGGAGACCACCCAGTTCACCTGGTATGGTCCTGGCTATGCCTATTGTCCTGGCGTCGTAATTAAAAACATCCTTTTACTCTTAAAAATGCCCTAGTTTGAATGATACCTTCTTTGTCACCTTAAACTTGAATGCTGTGGGGCTCGCAATAGGAATTTCCAGGCTGCCTTTCATATCCCGGATGGCTAAGTTAAAGGATTTCCGGACTTGAAGCCAGGCACTCAATGTTGCTTTAAAAATATTGGGGTAAAAGAAAGACAAAAGCAAACTTCTCTGTAGCAACCCGACGGCTCTTTCGGCATCTCTCAGGCTCCCCTCTGCGTCTACACCTAAACTGCTTGGGATCCTGACTCCACTGCTCTGTTAGGCTGGAGTGTCTCTGGGCTGTTCCCCTGTCGCACAGTGGGATGGAGCCTGGCCCTCGGTGGCCGCTGCAGACTTCTCCCCTGCTGGAGCTCCTTCTGAGCCCATAGGCCTTTTTTCTGTCCTAAGTCCCTTTAGCTGGCCCTTCTTGGCGTCACCACTTAAAATACGGAGTTTACCTTTAGGTGTTTTCTGGCGTCTGTGACCATTTTGAAGCCTGGTGCTAGAAATGGCTTGTTTTTTTATCTCCCCAGTGGTTCCACACCGTCCATCAGCAGCTTTGGTGGGCGCTGGCGGAAGGGACCTCTCGCATTCTGGTGTGGAGGGGAAGAGCAAATGGAACCGTGCGAGTGTTCCCTTAGCACCCTCTGCATGCCTCTTGTATTTGCCTTTTGTGTGGAAGTACAGATGTTGCAGGAAAATGTTGCACACAGAAATGCAGAGCCCACTCTGACTCATTTCACAGGCAGAGGCTGGAAGCCTCTTTCTTGCAAATTCTGGCATTCGGACAGCCACCTGGCGAATGCCGACCGGGCTGGATTTCCCTTTTGTGTTGGGGAAGCTGCTCAGAGTCAGCGTTTTCATATTCCAATTGCCCTTCGCTTAAGCAATGAAGTGGCAGCCTCCTGTCTCTATTTTTCTCAAGTAACTAAACATTCTTATAAGGAAGAAACCTACTAACTAATCAAGCTATGAATATCCCCAGATCTCGAATCAAAGGCCAAGTGTTTTGTACTGTTATTGACATTACAAGAGAAGCAAGCAAGTTTGTTTTTGTTGAAAGTTCTTAGGAACAGAACAAAATCTATTCAATCCACCATATCCCTTTTAAGAGAACCAAATTTGGAAAAAGCATACTCAGGTTGTTTCTAAAATAAATACATGATCAGAGCCACCTGTTACCCCATGTTTTACCTTTCCTGATTTGGGGGATCTTCCCTATTGTACCTGCATCTGTCCCTGGAAAATATGTTTGCCTGTAGGAATGAATGAGACTTTGTTTGTTTTCCTAGCTGATCTGTGGCCCCTTCTTTAATTGTCTCTTATCCCAGAAGGGTAATAGTAGGGATCAGACAGATTGCTCAATGGCTCAGTTGTGTAACTGGCTTCTCTGCCCCTAGAAGCTACAGTTCTGTCCTGGCTCCATTCACATACGCTATTCTCTGGGCAAACTGTGGCTTCTTAGATTCTCCACCCTCTAAGAACCTTGCATGGCTTACCTGGGTCCAGTGTCACCCCGACGCCAATATTGGTGGGTCCATCTGCCAATATTCCTTTCAAAAATCACTTGGTAGCACTTATGAGTCTCTCCCACATGACCAAGACCAAACCATGTGTTTGCCCATAGGAAGTAACCAGCTCTTTCTGAATTGAATGCAAACAATTCTTCTTTGCTGTGCTTCCTAAGGAGAAGATGGGCTTAAAAACAAAGTAGGGTAACTGGAATGTATGTCTAGTGATACATTAGACACAATATTAATGAGCATGAAGGAGAGAAGATAGAGAAGCCACATGAAGCTATGCCTGCAGTTTTCATGAATAACTTTTGACAACCTACCTGAGAAAAACTAACCCTGGCCATCAAAACAGGTGCAGCCACCCCTACCCCAGAGCAGTGATGGTCTCTGGCATCCTGTCCCCAGTTCAGGGCCTTATGTTCTTCCATTTTATACAAAAATCACATGCAGAACAGGTAGGGAGGCCTCCGGTTCATGGAATCCCTGCCAGGGGCTGGTGCAGAGGATGCAGTGCAGCCTTTGGTGGTGTTTCCTGTTCCTGAACTGACCCTCTCTCCTGCTGGAAACAAGATGAGCGTTCAGAGAATGACAGAAAGTGGAAAATTAAATTATGAACTCTTGGAACATCGACTCAGGAGTCACTGTATCAGTAATATTATATCGTCTGTGGGTGTTCTGCTCATTTTGCAGTTGGTGAAAAAGTCAATGACAGAGAACCAGAAAAAGCCTCTTTTCTCAAAAAGTTCTCTCCACACGGCCATTCTTGTTACCAGCTCAGAGCCTGAGCAGGTTCCCACAGTCTGCATCCACCTGGGCCAGCTTTCTTGCCCTGCGGGGCGTGGTTACCAGTGAGTGTCTCCATGCCCCAGGCTTCAGCCAGGCCTCACTTACTAATAGACTCCTTGGCCAATTCGGGGAGTAGGGGGGCTGCTATCTTCACCCCACCCCCTTACCCTGGGCTGTTTACCAGTCTAGACAGAGCCTTTGCGAGAATTAGAAAAAGGCACCTTTTATTCCTCTGTGAAGACACAGCCCTGCACCAGCCATGCAGTTGGTGACTACAGTAGGGAGACCAAACTTCAACTTCACCAATCCCCTCAGCCTGGTGCTTTTGTGCAGGTCACACACACTGCACACGCAGATGCAGCAGCCCTGCGCTCAGTGTGGGTCTCTCTTATCTGGAAATGTTATCCTGTGTGGAAATATCCCTTCATCTGGACCTGATGCCATCTCTGGTCTGTCATGCAACACAAAATGGACTGATGACTCATAGTTTCCGAAAGAGTTTCTTGGTGCCATACAAAAGAAGGATATTTCGGCAACAGCGTTTTTCTGGCCAGTTGTTCCCCCAACTTGACCTGAGCTCGGAAGAGAATAGGTTATTGATTCAGTGATGCTCTTGAACTTGGTGGATTGCTTTTCCTTTCTCCATTGAAGGGATGCTGGCCTGAGTCCAAATTATAGCCTCCTGGGCATTCAGCCCCACCTTCACTTGTAGCACTGGATCTACTCTTGGTGGGTATTTCCTGTGTTCTCTCTCTTACCCCAAGAATAGTTGCTTTCAGCCATGCCTGCCTGTCTTGGATTAAGAGAAAGCCTCGTCGATTTTCCTGGGTTAAGTCAAAGCTGGGTTCTTGCAGCTTCTGCTTGTCTGAGAATTCCTGGCACACGTTCCTGGGAGTCGCGGCCCTGCTCATTGAGTAGGTAAAGGAAGCCATCTGCCTCTGGTTCCCCATAGCACAGGCTCCACAAGAAGCTCAGCCACAATCAGTGATGTTTTTGTGCTGCCCAACTTTCTCTCGGGTTCTCACTCTCACTGCAAGAAGGTCCAAAGAAGAGGAGAGCTCCAGATTCATCAGCTCCCAGCCATCGGCCTGATCATTACGGAACTGTAATTTTTAAGTGCCACATAGAAGCAGCAGTCAGTGATGACAGACATATGATCCCACCTAACCAGTTTATGGTTACCAATGCCAAAAACCAATCAGACCTCCAGTGTCCTAAGCAGTGTAAACACAAGGTCATGACCACAGTTCTGGAGGGGGCTGTGCAAAGTTGGTCCTTCCATCTCATTTCCCATAATCAGGTCATCTTTTGTTCTTGAGCTTTTCTTGCAGTGACTTTTAGTCTCCTATGGGAACTAAAGGATCATTTTAGTTCCTATTTGATTACCTGGCTCTCAGGAACTTATCCAGGCACCCAAGGTAGTAATGATGAGGGAGGCTGCGTGATTTTCCCATGCAACGCCATCCTTGAGTTAGCTTTAGAGATGCTACCTCCACGAACCTTGCATTCGAAGCAACCTCTGTATGTGGTTAGGGTCTCATTTTCATGGGACAATAAATAGGGCACAAGATTGCTTTGGGGTTCAGAGAAGCCTGCAGGAAGAGAAAGGTTGTTTGGCTACAGATGGCTTTAGGTTCTGGCAAATCCAAAATGGCTGTCAAGGGCCTTGCAGGTTGGCAGCTGGTTGCATATTGGGTGGTGGTAAAGGGTGGATCTTGTTAATTCAAAGCACAGAAAATGGAAGCAACAAATTTTGAATTAACAAAGTGTGGCTTATCTGATATTTTTATTAAAGAATCATACGGTATCTACTTGCTCCACAAGATACAGACTTTTAAATAAACTAATATCAGATGACGCAAGCCTCGGTGTGGGTGTGTCATGGTCTCCTGGTATTACTTCCCCCCCATCTGTCCCCGGTTTGGAGCCAGTTCCCAGCTGGGGGGTGTTCTGTGAGTGTGTCTCTACCATGTACTAACCCTGGTCTTTTCCCTCTCTGCCAGTACACCTCTAAGTTAATGTCTTGCAAGGTGACTTCCGAGGTACTTTTCAACTTGTTTGTCTTCTCGTCCTGCATGCCTGGCCCAGGTGCATGCCGTTGTGGTTTGCCATTTCCCGATGCGTTGAATGAGAAGGGCAAGAAAACAGTTCGTCTCTGTGTTTCTTTTTTCCCTGCCTTTTCTGAAGTGGGGCACTGCCTTGAAGTGTTGGCGTACACGCAACAGTGATACACCCCACTGTGCTGTGCTGTGCTGTGCTGTGTGGTGGGATTGGAGAAGAGCTTGCCCTGCTCATAGATCTGGAAGGTGTTTGGTCTCAAGGGCACAACCAATGGATTTTTTTAGTTTCTTCAGGCACTGATAGCAAATATACCCTGGCCTGGTGGATAACAATGCAGCTCAAGAGGACCAAGTCTTTCATTTAAAGAGCGCCATGCTTATAGCTTTGGGATAAGTTATTCCAAACATGAACCATCCCAGCCCCGCTTTTCCCCAACTTCTAAATCGATATTTTTGTTTGTGAAGCTCCTTGAAGCACTGAATCTTGCCAAGTCCCCATCTTTCCCCTACAACTTCCTTTTACACAGATTTCACAAGCCTGTGCTGGGAAAAAACACAGTGTTTTTTACTGTCCCGTATTCTTTTCATATTTTTATCTCTCTCTCTCTCTCTCTTTTTTTTTTTGCTGTGAGAAAGCAGTGTTTTTCATATTTTTATTTCTCTAACATTGTATTTTTACTTTAAAAGAATTATTTCAAATTTACAGAGTTATAGAGAGAATGATTTACTCGTTTGCTCGGTTAACACTTTACTGAGCACCTACTATGCATCGGGTCCTTTTCTAGATTCTGAAAATAGAGCAGTCCACCAAACAAAGTCCCCGATGTCATGGAGCCGGCATTCACATGTTCCAAATAACGTGACATGATGAAGTCATAGAGCCCATCTATCCAGCTTTGTCTATTCTTAATTGTTTCATATTAGCTTAAAATTTTAGAAGGAAATTGATACTGCAAACACGACTCAAGCCCTCCTGTTACTTCTCCCAGTTCTCATTTCTCTCCTGAGAGGTAACTGTCCTTGAGTTTGGTGTTCATCAATTTCATGCATGTTTTTATACTACAAATGTTTATATACGTAAACAATGTGTTCTGGTTTTGCATGTTTTAGAACTTTCTGTAGATAATACATTGTAGTATGTTCCATTCCTTGCTTTATTTTGCCTGCACTGTTTTTCAATGTGTCCATGTTGATACTTACAGCTCTGGGTCACTTTTTATAGTATTCCATAGAATGAACACGTCACTGTTTCTTCGTCCTCCTAGTGATGCGAATATGTAGGGTGTTTCCTTTTTTCGAAAAAAAATTATTTTCATTACAAACAATGCTTCAATGAATGTTATTATACATATTTCTTTGAGCACCTATGGGAGAATTTCTCTATGTATCTAGAAGTAAGAAGTACTAGTTATAGGGCTTACATATCCTTGCATTCACTACATATTACAAATTATTCTTCAAATTGGTTGCGCTAACCTGTAGCGCAAGATATTTTGAAAATCTTTCTATTTAGCAAAGTAATTACAGTTAACCATAGATCTGAGCTGATGATTATCAGTAATTTTGTTCTATGAGGGATAAAATGAATATGGAGAATATCATTCCATGCACCCTTCTCAATGTCTAATAGTGGTTTTCAGAACCTTAGATATATTTTTAGCTTTTAGGTATATTTTCCAGTTTGTATCTATAATCTGCAAGGCGAACAGATGACCGTTTTACACATTGTAGAGCTCCTTATAAAAACGCCTTATATTTGAATACCACTTGATAGTTTATAAAGCCCTGTCACCTGATGACAGACGTAATTATTGTTTGAGAATATACTAGACACTGGGAACTATGCTAAATGCATTCTATATGTTGCCCCATTTATTCCCCAGGCTAACTCTGTACTGTAGTTTATATTATTCCAATCTTACATGTAAAGGGAATGAGACACAGGGGTAACCTTTCCCAAGGTCACATAGTCACTAGGATTTAAACCTAGACCTGCCTGGACTTCGGAGTCTGCATTGCCTCCTGAGAAAACCTATGAAGTAGGGCAGGTGGCGTTGTGTCCATTTGACAGATAAAGAAAGTTGAGGCTCAAGATGCCGTGAACAACAGCAGCATACCCCAGGGGCAGAACTGCAAATAAAGCTCAGGACTTATAATTCTGGCCCAGCACTGCTTCTCGGTACCATATTACCATGCAGTGACCAGGTGATCCTGTAGTTATAACTTTACCAGATTTGGAAGCACGCTTCTTTCCTGCCGATTTCCTATTCTTAGATATTGAGTGACAGTGATACGCTTACACATGAAACACTGTATGGCATGGCTTATGTGCTTCATGATAAACGTTTATTCAGGAGACATGACCGTCTCCTACATGTCAAGTCCAGCTGACCCTGTTGGGAGGACTGGGGAAGACTTCCCAGAGGAAAGCACACCGAAACTCTAAGAAGTTCATTCATCTGTCAGAGGTGCACAGACTCAGGCTGAGATGGACCCCAGAATTTGCTTATGCTTGGGCTCCCACCACTTCCTGTTACGTTCATCTCCTTTCTTCTCTAGAGTTGCCAGCATCACTGTCTCTCGCCAAAATGATTATTCTTAGAATAAGCAAAACCTTCATTGCAGTTTGGATAATCAATCAGTATTGGCTCTGCTGGACTTGTCTTTAAAACCAGAAACGTCACATCCTAAGCTAATGCCACCATAATTTAATTGGCTGGCATGCATGGGCTTGCTTTTGGTGGAGTGTCGTGAAATTGAGCCATTTCTTATGTGCTGGCAAACTTAAATGTTATTCATCTGGATCTCATCTTGTTCAGACTAAAGCTGGAACAGATTGGCTGAAGTTTCCCCTCAGGAGCCCGTAGATTATTCCAGAGAGCTGGGGGAAGGGAAGCCCTACCCTGATGATGGCCAGCCTCCTTGCCTTTAAGGTTGCCACGTTTCATTTCACTTATTAGCATCAATAGCCCTGAAGTTGCATCAGAATGCTCAGATTGCTTTTCATTGTCCTGAAAAGCTATTTTCTTTTTCATTTAATGATTCTTTGAAGTTTGATTATATCAAATTGTACTCTCATGTTATAAATATATGATCATAATTTATATATAGATGTACAAAGCCTGATGAATTGAAGCCACACTGGTCCAGTTGTTTGGCATTATTTTCTGGTCTGCTTGTTTACAAAGTGACTACGACAATCGGTAGTTGTGCTGTCACTTGGTTCCATGGGAATATTTAAATTAAAATTAAATACTTAGTTTCTCCACCACCTTAGCCCTATCCCAAGGGCTCGGTAGCCACGTGTGGCTAACCTCTCGCATAATCGATGGTGCAAAGACAGAACACTTCCACCAGATGGCGCTGATCTGCAGCATGTCGACATCAAAAAACCTGATGCAGAGTCAAGGCTCATTCAAAGAAACTTGCAGAACATTTCAGGAAAATTAAATCGTTCTGTGTTGAAACTTATAGGTCAAATAGCAAACTGTGGCTATGAGATGAATACACACTCAGAACCTTCTGCCTCTCTTTTATGTCCATGTCTCCCCTACCTCCTAGACGTGCCAAGCACTTTATTACTTTCCCCTCTCATTAGATGCTGTAGAGAGAGGGAAAGGAGGAAGGAAACGAAAAAGCTGGTTTGTATACACAATTAACATCCATGAACTCGGCTTGATTTTGTCCCTCTCTCTTCAGGTCCTTGAGGCCACTCGGGTTAATCGAAGAAAGAGCGCGCTGGCCTTGCGCTGGGAGGCAGGGATCTATGCCAACCAGGAGGAAGAGGACACTGAATAGCAAACTTCTTCCATCCAGGAAGCTTCATTGGTGCTTGGGTTACCAAGAAACCAAGCAATCAACACATCAGAGCATTTTAATGGAACATTTATTAAAGTGCAAACAAACTCAGCAATCCTTATGTAGACCAGAGGCTGCAATCTACCATGATGACACATCACGTGACAAGTCCACACACCAAACTCCTAACACCCTGGAGTCAACAGAGAAGGGATTTTTTTTTTTTTTTTTTTGCGACTCAAAGACTCACCTGGATTTGGACCAATCTACAACTGATCAAAAAGGACAAAGAAATTATAAGCAAATCAACATGGTTGCTCCAGGCAGAACTGAGACCAGCCTGGCCGGGTGGTGAGGAAAAACATTGGTGATGAGGCCGTTCAGAGACCAGCAGAGCCCGAGCTGGTGCGATCTACACGGCGTAGGGTATTTATTTCTCCGTGCTGGTTTCCCACCCCTTCTCATAGCATCCGAGGTGATGGGTTAACTCCATGTACTCCGGCAACCATAAAATGAATAATGCTTCTCTCTGTATTTGCCGGGAAGAGGCAATTACGATTCCATTTCTCTTACAGTGAATTGTTTTTAATTGGGAGCAATTAATGATCACAATACATAAAATCGATATTTTTAAGAAAATGTATCTTCATGTTGCAAACACAATCTATTCTACATTAGGAGGTTGAGGCGGGGGGAGGAAGCCAAACCAAATGGATTATTTTAGCTTTAGGATCTCGTCTGCTTCTAATACTGACTGATCTGCAGTTTATGAGAACGCATTTTCACGATTATGTTTCTTCATATGAGAACTATATTTAGTGGGCAACAACTATTTTTATGATGGGATGGGGGAATATATACATGTATAAAACCTGTACACATTGAACAGCCTGGTTCAAGAGGGTAGGGGTGTTTTTAGAGTGGCAATAATTGAGAAAAAGGATAACTCTGCCTTAGAGAGGTAGGTGACAAGAAATAAAAAGGGGTTTATATTTTATATGATAAAGCGGACCTTAGGGATGGCAGGAAGAATGAGAGATTATTTTGGCTCAATCAGAAATGAAACATTAAAGAAAGGTCACGAAGGTATAGAGAGATGAAGGGAGGGAGAAAGTGGGAAAATAAGGAAGTAAGAGATTTTTTTGCTGAGCAACCAGTGTTTTTCAGGATCATACAGAGAAAAATGTAGGATAGAAATTTAAATGCAGGCTTGGAATCAGCTGCAAATCCTAAAGATGGTGTGTGTGTGTGTGTGCGTGCGCGTGTGCGTGCGCGTGTGCGTGCGCGTGTGCACACTTAACTTTGTTTTGTAAAGTGTGTATGCTCATGAGTAAGGGTGTGTGCATTCGTGCATGTGCGTGTGTGTGTGTGTGTGTGTGTGTGTATTAAGATTCTAGAATGATCATGGGACAAGGGTGTACAGTTATTTTCCTCCAAAGCTGTTAGCCAGCGTCAGGAGTGAGTGAGAATTTCTTTTTTATGAAAAGGGATATAGAGGCACCGAACTGATGCAGTATTTGTAATATTAAATTGATCTAACATGGTATTTGCATGAGTCGCAATGGCAGAATTTTGAGCGGTTTTGTAATTTGACATTTAGGAAAGTATCATATTTATTCTCATGCTTTGTATTCATACTTAGTAAGTATACTCTAGAGGATGCCAGCTTTAGTGTTTCTATCATTCAAAGCAATATAATAAGGGTATTCAATAATTGGGTGCCCTAAATTTCTGGATGAGAAAATTTCCAATTCTGGCCACGAGAAAAACCTGACCAGCCTCTTTTTTTTTTTTTTGGCCTTTTGTTTTAAAACTGTGGTTTGAAAAAAAGCAATAATTAAGTCAGACCTCACTTAATTTCATTTGTTTTTATATTATTGTGTCATAAGCTCTAATATGTTATTCTGACACGTAGCAATTCCACAAAATCTGTATGTAGGTGTTATGTACATTATTTTGCTTCTTTTATTAGACTAGTGTTGACTTTAGAGGAAAGTTTATTCACAGACAAGTGGTGGGCACAAAGTAATAATGGAACTGTCTGATAATTTACAAGGATCCTTTAAAACTGCCAAGGGAACCTGCAATTTGAAGCCAGATTCTGCATATGGGCATTTGGAGCCATCTTAATGTGGTTCATCCTAACCTGAATATTGTGAATGAATCTTCCACAAAATGTGCTAGCCATTGGGGACGCCAAACAAATAAGATTCCTGCTACAAAGAATTTATTTTCTAGTGGGGGAGGCTAGCACGGAAACAGACATTCTCAGGAAAATGAGATCTGGGTTAGATTAGACAGGCAAAGTGGGACAAGCAGGAAAAATATTTTGCATGATCTAGACAAACTCCTCCATCTTTCACAGGAGGAATCGATCCTCAGGATTTAAGCTGAAGTTTTTCTGTTGTGAAGGAGACCTTGTACCCACCTTAAACTGAGGTTTGAGAAGAGAATTTGCAACTGGAAGGAAAACTTAGGAGGGGGAGGCCACACAATCTTGGAATCGCTTTAGAGGCAGACAAATCAGTCTTTGACTGCAGCTGCTTGAACCAGAGGCATTTATTCCTCAGAGAGAGTTGTAGAGCTGGAGTCCCTTGGTCCACGCTCCCCGTGTAGATAAGGCATCAAATGCAGAGTTTCCTTGACCATCCTGCAGTCACATAGCTGTTTAATTGTGGCCCCTGCGTCTCGATGACGTTTGCTTGTTCCCTTCTACTGCCTTTTAGATGACCGTTGTCTATTTCCTCCCTCCACTCACTCATAATCCTATTAACATGTAAATGACAGTTCCCTTGGAAGAGCCAGATTTTCTCTGTGCTCTTGAGTTTTTTTACTCATTTAAGAAACATTGGGCCACCGCTTTGTACATAGCACTGTGCTAGGCTCTGGGATCCCAAACGAACCCCTATTTAACTTTCTGAAGATGCAACAGACCCCTGGAGGAAAGTTTGTTCCTGCCTAATCCATTGAGAGGAAGAGGCCTGTGGGAAACTTGGCCTCTGATGCTTGTCCCCGCCCCTGAATAGCACGCAAGCTTGTTAATCTCAGCTATAACTAATGTTTAGATTCTGTAGATGTTAAAAGCTTTCCTGAAAGTATTCCATTCTGCAGTGTTTATAGATGTTCACTTTCCTCCGGAGCTGATTAACTACTGACATGCCTTGGCTTTCTCATCCAGAAATTATGGAAACAGGGTCTGTCAGTGGCTGGAGGCCAGGCTGTGTTGTACTCAGATGACACAATGCAATTTCTTTGCCTCTCTCTCTACACCCGTGCATGCTGCCCACCCTAGAAAGTGACATTGAAGCAGTATCCACATATATACGCAACACGCACATATTAAAAATCATAACAAGGAACACTAAAACGGTGTTGACTCTTGTCTCTGAAGACAAATAATCAAACATTTTTTTCAACTAAAATAGATGTAATTACACTATGTACTGAAAAAAATAGCCTAAGTGTTTAGAGATGGTGATTATATCCAGTTTTAGTGACAGAACCAATTTCCTGAATTTTAAGCATTCAGTGAGTGAGCTGCCAATTTTAATTTTGTGTTGCTCTTTACCAAAATGACTTTTTTTTTTTTTTTGGAGGAGGAGGGGGGGAAAAAGCAATACTGTGTTTGAATATTAATACTCTGTACCTGGCTCTCCTGTGTATGTTAACCACTTAAATGTCATTATTCTGCTTCGGTTTTATAGTGATTGTGAGGCATTCAATGCAAGTATACAATTATTTTCTCATTAAAACGCAGTGTGTGTTGTGTTTTTATAAATGGTGGCTATTTGTTTGGCTGGGAGGGAGGCCAGAAGACTGATTAGCCAGTGGCATCCAATGCCCTTGGCCTCTGCTTCTATGTAGCAGAACCTGCTTCTTGCACATGTGGAACCAAGCAAGCCTCACTAGCCAGTGGGACACAGGTTCTCAAGGACCCCTTTGCCATGCCCTGGATAGAAACGTGGTTAAGGCCGTTCCTTGAGTCCGAATGCCCAGGTTCAAATTCAAGTGCTGTCATTTAAGAGGCAGCTGGAAAGAAGACCCTGCGCAGGAAACAGAAGGTCAAGGATGCAAGTAAGTGCGAGGGGTTGAAATATGGAACAAAACAGCTGGAGACCATCAAGGGAGGGTGAGGCAGAAGGGAGAGCAGGAGGAAATTTGGGGTGGGAGCTTCTCGATGGACCCGTAGTGGTCTTAGTACACTCTTAAAATCTGAAATTCTCTATTTTTGAGAGGAGAGCCAAATACAAGTGCTGGGAATGTAGTAATGCAAATGCGAACCTGCGAGCCACATGGGAATCTTGCGTTCTACCATTGGTCCTACTGTCCCTGGCAGAAACACACATTGGCGACTTCACATGCGAGGTCCTGTAGATCGGATGATGTGTGTGAGCGCCTGGTGACCTCACAGCACCTCCTCTCACTGTACTCTAAGAGGGTGTTCTCATGGATCTAGGCCAAAGCTGGGATGGGGGCTCGAGTCTTTGGGGAGAGGGGTTCTGGTAGGAGCAGCAAAGAAGTTTCTTCATTTGAATGAGTTCCCCTAGTTCTTTACCTGGGGATGAGCTCCCCCAGGAGATGGTGAGAGGAGATGGCCCAGGCATCCCTGTTGCCTAAAAGGAACCAGAGGTGACTGCAAACGGGGATGTTCTAGGATGTTCTAAGATGTTCTAAGATTGAATCATCATGGCCGCACAACTCTACAGGTACTAAAAATCTGGAATTTTACGTTCAAAATGGGTAAATTTATGATATGTAAATCATTCCTCAATAAAGCTGTAGCCAAAACAAAAGAAATGAACCAGAATAATGAGCCCAAGGAAAGGGGACAGGAAGCCACGCTGCCTTAGGTCGAGAGGGACACCAACATGTGGCCGCCCAGCCAGGAAGAAGCCATACTGTCCTGGGCTGCTCCGCAGAACCAAGAGCAGTAGAGTTTCAGATGTTCTGGTCCTCTCTCCATCGATCACTGCTAACGTCTGGTGGCATTAGACAGAGCCAGGTGAGTCACTGTACACGGGACTGAGATTTGGTGGGCAGGACTGCTGGGCACCCAGGCTGTGAAAAGCCGGGCAGTAAGACGTGGGGTCTAGCATGGTCGGAGTAGAAGGTATTTCAGGGGGATTCCTACTGAGGAAGCTCTTCCTGCAAAACCATGCACGTGAAGCACTAACCCCTAATAGGCAGAGGGCAGGTAAGCAGGCTTTTTGATCTGTGACATAGAGCGTCAGTGGGGAGGGAGAGGGAGCCGTGGCCACTACCCCTGGTTCATCTCTCCTGTTTTGTATTGGTGGCAAAGAGACTACCTTGTGGGACACACGAGGCCATCAAGTTACTTCAGAGCCTTGCTCATTTTAATTATGGGATTCCTGAGCCACAAGAGGTGGTGACTATATCTCTCCCTACACAGAACCCACACAACATTCAGAACTGGGCTGCTAGGGGCACGGAGAACAAAGGCGGAATTGAAAGGGAGAATTTAAAAGGTTTTAAATGTACGAGATCAGAGTAAGGCCAATGAGGGGACCTCAGGAAATACTTGGAGATGCCACACGCAATTTCTAAATGTTGCCCAAGCATTCGGATGCTTTTTCTCAGAGAAAGAAGGATATTTGAATAATACAGCTTTAAAAAAAAGGGTCTCCAAAATATAATCATCTCAGAGTCAGTGAACCTTGATGGGAGAATTATCCAGATGCTTTGTTCTGAGTTCACAGGCAGTGGGGCTCTGAACAACTCGGAATGGATTTCCTGGTGCCCTAGAGAAGTAAAATGACAAATCTCTCTCCCTTCGGGGTTTTTTTCCCACCCTCCCGTTTGGACAACGTTCTGTCTCTGCAGCCATCAGCTGGTAACATCGATGTGCCTCTGGAGGGCGCCAGGCCCAGAGTTTCTGATTCAGGAGGTCTGGGTGCAGCCTAAGAACTTTCTAGCCTGGAGATGCTGCTGCTGCTGCTGCTGCTGCTGGTCCAGGGAACTCACTGAGAATTGCTGGTCTGGAAAGTGAGTAATGAATAGGGTTGGGGAATAACACCTGTGTTTGAAAATTGGGGCATCGATGCATGATGTATAAGAAACAGATACGGTCACATGTGGTTCTGGGTCGTTTTAAATACTTATTGAGGGCTTTTGTGTGTTTGCCCAGCACATTGATGCACCACTAGTCGGTCTTGGAGAAGCAGAACTAACAGACCACTCAGACTTGCAAGTGAACTGTCTCTGACAGGGGTGAGCAGGTTAAGAAGAAAATGTAAAGATAATATTTCTATAAGTTCAGACATTAATGTCAGGGTAAAACCAAAGGATTAGTTTGACTATCAGAAAAATGGATAGTTGTGTAGGGTGATAGCAAAATCAGACTCAATAATGTAAATTTGTTTGAATAACATGGTTGCATAATTTGAGTTAAGAGGCAGAATAAGAAGTAATTCTTACTTGATCCAGAGCAGCAGGTCTCAATTCTGACTCCATATGAATCACCTGGAGAGCTTCAGCGTTTGCGTTCCATTGGTCTGAGTTAGAGCCCGGGCATGAATATGTGCTGAAAGCATCCCAGGGGCACCGAGCATTCTTATCTTGCGCTTGTGCCCTGGTTTCAAACCCACTGCACGTTAGGGTCATCTGGGTGGTTTTTAAATACACTGGCACTTGAGCCTCGTGCTTAGATATTCTGATGAATTTTCCCTCAATCAGACTCAGACATGGGTTTGAACATGTGAGTCTTGTTTTAGCCGCTCCCCAGGCGCTAGCAATGCATCTCACGGAGAAATGTGTTTGCTTCATGACCAGATCCACTTCAGAAAGTCCTTGGAGGCAACATTGAAGTGAAATGAATAAAAGGCCTTGAGGGGCTGAATCGGCCCATCTCACTGGTCCTGGGAGACAAAGCAAGTTGGTGATTGAGGGAGGGGCTTTGCAAAGCTGCAGTTGTCACTTACGCTCTCAGCTCTCCTCCCTCTCTGAGGCCTCCATGCCTCTGGCTGACAGCAGATTCAGTTGTAAAAACTTTAGGGTTAACTGAGGGATAAACAAGCCACAAGGGAGTGCCGGAGGCATGCTCTTACTGAGAAAGAGCTCACATGGACAAAAAACGACACAGGATGATCTCTGGCAGATGCAGCCATGGCCATTCTTTCTATTTGTCCTGATAATTGTTTGCCGATTTTCGTGGTGTAAATATTCCTATAACGGCTGATTTCAAGATACTAACAGCTAAACAACTGGTTCACAGAGCTCACGAATACTTAATAACTGGTAGAGAACAAAGCTACTATGATTAAAAGACACACAGGATGACCCAGAGATGTAGTGCTAAAGCCATCATTAACAAGAGCCTTCATTTGCCTGGAGTGGCTCTTAAGAACCAGTCGCAGCAGGTAGCGATCAGGGATTCAGGATTCTGACAAGCTGCTCATCATCAGTCCTCGACAGCAAAAAAAAACCAGTGTAGGTCATGTGCCCATCCCTGTTGCTAGGGTCTGTGACAGAGGAAAGTGGAGAAAGGGATGCCAGGAAGACCAAATATGTGAAACAATAGAGCCTGTGTTGCAGACGATTTCCCTGTATCCATCAGCAATTCCATTGTTAGTGGCAATGTCTCTCTGACAAGTGCTCAGCCTTTGGGATCAGGTAGGGCACTCAGATGTTGAGCCCATCACTTTTTCAGTGAAACCTTTGACCGTTTGCTTATTCTAGATCAGATTTCTGACTTAACAGAGTCGCCATGAGGATTAAATATATTATGTGTAAAGTGCTTGTGAGTGGCAGGTGCAGATGTGCTCCGAGTTCACTTTCTTTAGAGCTTCGTATTCAGTCAGCAAATACTTACTGAGTGCTTAGCATGCGTCAAGCTCTGTGCATATAAGAGCAAATGAAAATGGGGTTTGTTCAGATGGTTTCAAGTGGAATTGGGGAAGCTCATTGGGAATGCGAGGACAGAACTGCTCCAAGGTCAGGCAATGTTTCCACACCTGCCTATTAAACAGAGCCATCCGGGGATCACCCGTACTGTCTTAGCATGCTTTTAATTTCTCCTGTTACTGTAGAACCCATAAAGTTGTGGTAGTCTTCTGGGCAAGAAAGATCCAAATGTTTACTAAAAGCCAGAAAGATTCAGAACTCATCAGTGGCAAGTTAGAAGGTGCTAGGAGCTTGAAGGAGACATTTAGGCAGGAACTTCCCAAGATTAACAAGGCTGCAGAAGCATCTCATCCGGTAAGATGGAGGGTTCCTCTCACTATTTTCAATGTATTTTGTTGACTCAAGATGGCCACCTTTGCCTGCAAGCATGAAAGGCGGCCAGTAGATGGCAGTGGTCCCTAAAGTAAAAACAGTTTCCGTAGCCATGAGCTTTCCTGGGGAATCCGGAGGGCGCTTCCTACCCTTCGCACAAGACAGGAGTCCATTGAGATCTACGTGTAGCTACTCCAAAAACACCGCAAAGCAAAACCTCCTATTCTGCAATCCTATACGCAGGTCAAATGTGGCACGTTACTTACACTTACATTTCGATGGCAAACTGCCCATTGCCACCAGAGGGCAGCAGACACCTGAATGCTTCTACCAATAACGCCCCATCGTTATTAAGGGCTAGCTAGCTCTGCACCATGCACTGTGCTGAGTACAGTGGATTATTTCATTCATTCTTATGACACTCCTTTGAGGTACATACTGTTAGCATCATCTCTTTTATAAATGAGGAAACACACTCAGAGAGTTTGAATAACTTGCTGCAGGTGATGTGACCTGTGGTAAAAGGAAGAGTCAAAGCCTGAACTC